CCAGTCACATTCCAACACCTTCAACTAAAACGCCAAGTCCTCGCTTTGGGCCTGCCGGCTCCGCCTGACCACTTCCTCCTCCCCTGATGCACCCAAGCCTCACATCCCTGCCTTGATCCCCGAACTTCAACCACACTGGGTGTCTTCCTCAGCCCCCAGCCTGCCGCAGGTGTTTGCATTAGCTGTTTTCTCCGTCTGTGACACCCTCCCCTGTGCCTGGCCTGGCTGGTGTCTCCACCTAAATGCTTCCTACCCGCAAAGCCTCCCCCACCACCACCTGCATCTTAATAGGCCTCCTGCTATTCTCTCTCAGCATCGAGTTCTTTGCATCCATAGTGCTTATTACACCACGTAATTTGTTTGCACATTCTCCCCGGCCCACCCTGAGACTTCCCTACAGGCAGGGGGCTGGCACTGGAGCGGTGGAAACAGGTGTGGGGTGAGGTAACGAGCTCCCTGTACAGAAGGTGTTGGGGGATTGGAACGGAAGTTGGATCTTCTGTCTCAGAAGCGGCTCAGAGGCTTCCTGACCTCATGGTTTGGCCTCTCAGAGGTCCCTCCTACATCTCACTGCCATTTCTTCAGTGGAAACGCATTAACTTGTATTTCTTTCCCTTCCGAGGGGGTGTATTAGGTAATTATAACACCAGCTGCTGGAGAAACCCTGAAATCTCAGCAGTGTACCGCAGGAGAGACTGATTTCTCACCTTCATCAGGTCCGATGGGGTCCGGCAGCTCTCCTCCAACACCAGCTAGGAGGCTGTGCTCGCTGCTGTCACAGAATGCGTGACCACATCGCCCAGGCAGGAGGGAGAGGGAGTAAGGAAGGGTTTTTTGGGGTTCTCCAGAGACACAGAGCCAATAAGAGACCTGGAGATACCTGCATGTTTCTGTATCTATACAAAGAGATGCATTATGAGGAATTGGCGCCGCAGTTACATAGGCTGACAAATGCCAAAAGCTGCAGCGGGCAGGCAGACTGGAGACCCAGAAGGAGACCCAGGAGAGCTGATGGTCCAAGTCCAGGCTGAAGGTCAGCAGCTTCCAGTCATCCCTCTGCACTCTGGGGCTCTGCTCTGCCTCTGCTGGCCAATAAACCCTTCTGGACTTTGGACTCATGTACAGTAACCTCACAATAAACCCATAAAAGTGACCCTCACAATGACACCCTTGTGGGGTAGAAGCAGGCATGGTCACTTCCCATAGGTCAGATCCAGTCACATGGCCCTGTCCTATGTCCAAGAGAGGCTAAGAAAAGGTCTTATTGAGTGCTCAAGAATTAGAAGATGACCCAGCACTTGGGAGAACACAGTAGAGCAGCCTCTTGCTGGGAAGATAGAAGCTTTCTGTCCAGCAGGCTCTAGATCCAACCTTAGAGGTCCAGACAAATTTCTGTGATTCTGAGTCAATAGCATGTAACTGCAAAAGGCAAAGCACCCCACACACACAAGTCAAAGAGACAATTGGCAGTTAGGACACTTTCTGTTAAGCAATCACAATGAGATGTGCTTTTTCCAAAAGCCAAAAAAGTTATTGGCCCAGAGCTTAGTGGGCCCTGCACCACCACCACCCCTGCTAAGGAGGAAAGCACTACATAGACTAGAACAGCTCGAGAACAGGACATGGGTCTGCCTTCCGCACCCACCCCTCCTGCACTGGCATGCAGAGAGAGGTCTTCCATACCGGGCAGCCGGTCTCCGCAGAGTCAGGGCTCTGAGCTCAGAATCCCCAGACAGGTCTTGGGTCTCTTTCCTGTCCCCACTTAACAGTGTCCTCCCTGCTGAGCCAGGCTGTCAGGCACTGGGTCTGCTTTGCTTGCCAGTATTTATTTCTGAACTATATCCTGGCACCCACTAGGTGCCCAATAACTGTTGAATGAGCATTAATCACTCACTTGCATAAAACTACTTATTAAGCTCCTTCCGTGTGCCAGGCGTTGTATGAAGCATTAGGGATACAAAAGAAAGAAAACAGATCTGATCCTGTCTTTACGCAACTAACAAAGATGTTTATTTACACCAGACAGCATGATGATATAAACTGTAACAAAGGTGGAAGTAACACGGGGCAACATAAATCAACTACACAAGTAAATTACTGACAGATCTGCAGGTAATTGACTAAGTTCATTGCCACCTCCAAAATGAGGCAAGCAAGAGAGATTGTGACAGTAGTAGAAAAATTGAAACAGATAACGTGTAAAGAATAGGGAACTCTCGGATGCGTGCAGGTGACCTCTTGTGTGGCTTGGGAGCAAGTCTGGCTTGTCCAGGGCCACCTGTGCAGACTGGCTGCACTTGGGCACTCAGAACATTTGTGTCAGAATGGCGTGCTCTCCAAGAATCAGTCCCCAGCCTCCCATCTGTGTTTAGAAGGAGCCCAGAGTGGCCATTCTCTTGTGGAAAGAACAGAGGAGGCAAAAAGCGCATGCCCACCCTGATCACTGTCCCGAGGGGAGCAACCACAGCCCTATTCTGCAATACCAGCTGAAGCCACCAGGTCCTGCTTGGTCAGCAGACGTGGCACGCACACTCTGCCCCCACTCGCCAACCCCACAGTATGGCCTGGTCACAGGAGCAAGACCAGATCAGATCCATAGTTGATCACATAAGTGTAACACCTACATCGTTAGCTCCCAGGTCACATCAGGAGTTCATTCCAGGGAGGGCACATGCAACAAGAGGCTGCAGCCACTGACCCGTGTCTAAGTGCCTGGCCTGGGACCACCCTGCATGTCACCCTGATCCTCAAGCTGGCCACTGAACCTAGCTTTGCCCTTCAAGGCTCTGTCAAAAATATTGACGCGCAAGCAGGTTGATTGAGCTTTTGACAGGGTCTTTTCACCAAGAGCATCATTTGAAAAATGGCAATGTCCAGGTAGGAATGTGTTCCATTAGTACCTTTCTGACATAAGAAAACTAACACCAACTTGACAAGAATTTGAAAAATTTAATTTCTATTGCTACAGAGGACCAGAATCCTATTTGAGTGGGTGCTGATGGGTTTATGAGTGTCTCATCGAGTTCAAGTCAGTGTGAGAAATAGCGCCTGAGATTAAGGGAAAGCTGTAATAGGAACTAAAACCCAATTCTCTACCAACTAAGATTGTATGGCCTCCTGCTATCAGGAGAGCTGCTTGTTAGCCTGCTTACAGAGGCCCATTAATTTCCTACAGCCGCCCCTCGCCAGGTTCCAATGCACACGCGGGAGGGCAAGGGTTAGCCTCCGGACTGCCTCATGCTGCTGCTGTGGTTGGGCCCTAGAGAGGGGTTGTGGCCTCAGACCAGGCACCAGACTGGCCAACAGCCACTGCAGGGCACAACACCCTGCGGGAGGCCCAGGAAGGTCTGTCTTGTGCTCACCAACCCACCCTGAGTTGACATCAGCACAGTGTGAACTCCACCTCCTCACCTGAGGGAAGCAAGAAGAAGCCCACCGATGCTGAAAGACCAGACCCCAGTTAGAAGCATGTCTGAGCTAGGAGCACCTCCAACCTGCTTATCCCCCTCCAGTTCCCTGCTCCCCAAGCAGCTCTCCAGGGCCACTTCTCATCTCCCTGTGGGCACAGAGCTCGGCCCTGAGGATGCTCTGAACCCCAGCCGGCTCCTTTCTTGCCCATGACACCAACCCCTTATGTGATCACATCCTCAAGCCTGGACCCGGCATCACCTGGTCTCAGCACTGCACAGGGAGGAAAGCCAGGGGGAGGGCTCGCGGAGCAGTAAACACAAGGCAGTAAGACTGGAAGGAGAGGGTGCTGCAGCCACAACTCTCTTCCGAATTTTAAAAGAAGCTGGGGAATATTGACATGAATTAAATCCAATAAAACATTCATTTAATTAAACTTTAAATGATCCAAATATTTGCTGTTTGGTTAATATTTGCGTAGCTAACGGGAGCAGAATTATGATGGTCCTGTCAGTACTCACGCATTCTAATTGCGCTTGGGTTTTTCCTGTGTGGAGGCTGCGTCTCCCTGCACACAGCAGTGGGGAAGACGCGGGGGAAGGCCGCAGCCCTGCCCCAGCCGCGGAGACGCAGGAGGCCGCCAGTTCGCACTGGAGTATTCTTGCGTCTTTGTTTTTAGCCCATGCTCCAGTGTCCTCCAGACCTCCTCCTAAAACTGCTGGATATGTACGGTGTGGGCCGCACAGAAAGGAGGCTGCATTTCGCAGAGGCCCTGGATTCCATGAACCCCGGCCACCAGACCACCCTTCTTGGAAGGGAGCAGCTCTCAGGCCTCAGGGTACCTCACAACCTCCTGGGGTGATGACTGTCCCCTCGAGCCTGATCCTATTTTTGCATCTGAGCAGCCTGACTTTGGTGAATTTTTCATGAATCCCCATAATTTCAAAAACCTGTACTGACCGGGAAATATTTCAGATCCTGCCCATTTGCCTAAAGAATGATTCATTTTAATACCAGTTATCAAGTATAAAATGGCAAGGATTCATAACTTGGTCAGCCTGAAGTACACTTCAAAAAATTAAAGGCCACAGTACATGGTCTCAGGCCAGAAATCCAGCTCTAAGTTCAGTGAATCTTCTGATAGAAGTAAACCTTCAAAGGTCAGCCAGTTCGTTCCCCAGACTTCAGACTGTGCAACCTTTGAATTGCCCCCAGATGGATGAGCTACCTGTCGGCTCACCCAGCAGACCTTGACTGCACTTAGCAGGGCTCCAACTTCATTAGACCAGGAGGGCTGAGCCGCCCGTCCCTGGTCCATCTGTGTGATGGCCTCCTGGTCCTGGCAGCCAGCCTTCTGGGCTCCATTCACAAATCCACGGTCCGTATGGCTCCTCTGGGCGTGCGCCTGGGATCCTGACCTGTTTTCACTCACAGAGCCTTTTGAGCATCAGGCGTAAGTGGTGGCACACCTCCCAGCAAAAGCGCCCCTTTGTATGTTAAACAGCCCCTAAGTAAGTGAATGCCCTGTGGCTTTGCATTGAGACTCCATGCCCCAGGGCTGCATCTGAATACCCTCTCCTTTGCCTCTGCAGAGGTGGTTCAGCTCAGCCTCGCCCCCGAGGACAGGGTCAGTGTGACCACCGTGACCGTGGGACTGAGCACAGTGCTGACCTGCGCCATCCGCGGAGACCTGAGGCCAGCCATCGTCTGGAAGCGCAACGGGCTCACCCTGAACTTCCTGGACTTAGAAGACATCAATGTAAGTCACCACCGTGCTGGCAGTCAGGGGGACCTCCCAGAGGAGTCAACAGTATGGGAAAGCCCGTGGCAGTGGCAGGAGCTGGACGGGGGTAGTGCCTGCTTTGGTGACGTTTTCTGCTGGACCAGAGAATGAGGGTTTGATGACACAAGCCATGGCGAAACTTTTAGAGCTGTCAATGATACAAACAGCCCATCATGGCATGCGTGATATAGCTTCGCCACCACTGGCTTAAGTGGTGCCACTTGGCAGAAGACAGCAGTTGAGTGCAGACAGCCTGACGTGGCCAGCAGGGCAACGTCTGTACTTTGAGGAGGCAGGAAGCTGGGCTGGGGTCCTGACATCACCTACATTCACTTTGTGACTAATTCCTTAACCTGCTGATCCTTGGTGAGTCAATCCATAAGAAAAGCAACATTAGCAATCCTCCCTACCACTGCACTTGAAGAAGAGGAAAAATTCAAGTGTATTTATGGGTCCAGGTTTGGCATGAAGGGTGATGCGGCTTCCCAGAAGTTCACAGGAGAGGACAGTGATGTCACCCATGCAGTGAGCTGCCGGAACAGCAGTTCTGTTTGGGTTAAAATAACAGGAATATAATTTTCAGGCAGAAGAGGGGACATTCTTGGTCTCCTTGACTCAAGATAGCATAGATGTTCCCCCATGGGCCATTTGCTCCCCAATAAGGATGACCTGTTGGGTAAAATCCAAGGGAATGAGGACAGAGGGAGCTGACCCGGGCTGTGTGGCCCCCAGGGTTGGCCTAGCACAAAGGACCAAGGCGTATCCCATGAGGAGACCGATCTGGGTGCCCTGGGTGGGACTCCATGCCAGCCATCTGTCCTGCCCCACAGCGGAGTCAGCCACTTCCGGAAGTAATGAGCTTCCCATCCCTTGGACCTTGCGAGCTCAAGCAGGGGCTGTGGACAACAGTGCTGCTGGCCATGAGAAGGTAGCCAAACCCCATGACCGTGAAGGTCCTTCCAATGCTGGCACTGCTCTTGAGGAGAGCTGTCCAGCCTGAAATGCAACAGGAACCCCCAAAGCTGGGCCTCGGAGATTCCCTCCGTCCTTTGACTTCATCCTGGAGACCCTGGGGGATGAAGAAGCAAAGAGAAAACCACTCTGGGGGGCAAACTATGACCTTGTCACGCTGGGCTGCTTCCCACTGCTCTCCCTAGGGCTTGTGCAGCTGGTCTCCTCTACCTCTCTGGACCTCAGTGCTGCCCTACCCAAGGGGGCGTGATACTTAGGTAGTGGGTGGGCACAGCCCTGGCCTGAGAAGAGCGGAACTTGCCCGAGGCCTTAAGCTCACTGTCCTATTTATAAAGAGTAGGATGTGTGTGTGTGTGTGTGTGTGTGTGTGTGTGTGTGTGTGTGTTGGGGTCCACATTTGTGTGTACCAAAGCTCTCCAGGCGGCGTGTCAGCTTTTAAATGCATTTGTCCAGTAATGATTGATTGCTTGGACAGGGCCACCTGGAACGGTCTGAGTATCCACGTGCATTGCTTGGTGCTCTGTTTAAGGACACCAGAAAGAAAGTCAGAGGCAAAACTCCTCTTAATGTACTTCCCATCAGTTAATTAAATTACCTTGAGAGTTTTTCTCCTCTTTCAAACATGCCCACAGCACCAGCTCAATTGCAGTTGTACTTTTCACAGTAAGGTTAGCAATTTGGATAATTGTGGCTACAAGCAAAGATTAATGGCCCCTCATTACCTCCTAGCAAGCGCTGCTGCCCGTGGTTAAGTCAGTAGCCTGAAAATACACGCAAGCACACATAAAGTGCACACAACACACGCACCTCCCCCCGCCACAGGGAAGGAGGCTGCCGTCTGCTAGGGAAACATCCAGGTTCCAGGGTCAGAGGGCCCTGGCTTCAGATCTCAGCTGTACCACTGACTAGTTGAGAAATCTTGGAAAGGGCCTTTGGCCCCTCTGAGCCTCAACTTCTGCATCTGTGCAATGGGGATAAATAACAGTGTCTGCCTCGTGGAGAAATAGTGAAGATTAAATGAGACAGCACAGGTAATGTTCTTAGCATATAGTTTATAAATACTAAATATTATCATTATTACTGTCATTAATGCTATTGCTACAGCTGCTGTTAAGCCACATTCTCAGCACTTTGTAGCTTAACTCCCCAGTGAGCAGCCCGCAGCAGCCCGGAAGTCTCCCCAGTCAGGCAGATAGGACTCTGAGGTCCCCTGTGGCTTGAGGTCAGAAGAGTGGACAACACTGTCCTCATCAGCCTTGATTCCCAGGGACAGAGACACTGACCAGCCACTCCCAGCAAACCCAAAGCAGCGGTTGTGCAGCCGCTGGACTTTGTTGAGCCGACAGGGACATGGGGACAGTGACGTCCTGCCAGCTCAGGCGTGCTAGGCTGCACATGGATGCCCAGACATGTGGCAGCCCCACTTGGGACAGTGAGGAGTGCAGAGCCACGTCCTCAGGAGCCACAGGGCATTTTTGTAGCAAGAACTGGTCAGGGGAGACCGGGCCAGGACAGCAGCACAGTGGAGCAAGGATTCCGGGGTCGATGGGGCTCCCAGCACCCCAGAGCCTGTGAAATCCCAGCTCTCCCCTCCCCGCCTAGTGAGCGATAACATACAATCTCTGGCGTCCTCATTCGTGACCAGTGCCTAGACAGGACCACAAACGGGGGAAGTGGATCAGCCTGCAGAACCAAGGCAGGGAGATTAGGGAGCACAAAGCGTTTGTGGGCCTCCTTTCTTTGTCATTTGTCTGAGACATCTTGATTGGCAACAAAATATTAATCACTTTTTCACTAGTCTCCTAATGAGACGCTTTCATGGGCAACAAAATATTAATTTGTCTTGTCTTATCTGTTAAGAATTCTGTTAATGAATTCAGTCACAGAGCTATTACCGAATGCCATCCTAATGACACATGTAATTAAACTTTTCTGACTTGCAAACATCAAAGATGCCTTGAGCATCAGAATAATATTTGATCAGAAAGCGAATGTGCCCCTGCAGCCTGGAGGCGAGTGGGAAGGCACTGCTCGGGCCCCGCAGTGAGCCGCGCTGCTGTCAGGAACACTTAGGAGTCACCAGTCCTGTGCGGGCTGGACCGGGCAGCCACGGCGGGCAGTCGTCCTGTGGACTGACTCCCTCACTAAGGGCCAGCGAGCCACAAAAGCCTCACACGAGGCTTCCACAAATGCCTGTTCTGAGGGGTGGAAAGAGGAGCCATTCTAGCTGGGGCTCCGGGTGGCCCGAATAATCAGAAGAGAGAAGTTTGAGGGGTCAGGTTGGGGCTACAGTACAAAGGGCCTGCACGTTAACATGAAGAGCCTGGGCTAGCCGGGCATGGTGCCACACGCCCGTAGTCCAAGCATCCGAGAGGCTGGGACTACAGAATCAAGTTCAAGCCCCGCCTGGACAATTTAGTGACTTAGCAAGGTCCTGCAATCAATCAGTCAATCAATAAATGTTCTATAAGAATAAAAAAGAAGGGCCAGGGTGTAGCTCTGTGGTAGAGTGCTCCTAGGCTCCATCATCAACACTGGGGCCAGGGGAGTGGTGCAAAGAAAACAGTCTTGGGCAAAAGAGAACTACAGACTTCTTTGAGGGGTGACATGGTCAACTGTAGGTGCTGCCAGAGCCCTAAGCCCTACTTTGTAGGCTAAAAGGATCCCAAGGAATGTGGGACCCAAACATGTGGGCAGCCCTGCTGGTGCTCTTGGGGTTTCTCCTCTCTAACTTCCGCCCTGGCACATTTGGAGCAAAGTGGCGGCCCAGGCTGCCTGTGGCATGTCTTCAAGTTCCTGCCGCATGGCCTTGCCCGGCACACAGCGCGTTTGGAAGCCCAGGCCCTATCTGCTGCGCCTCAGAGGAAGCCCCCAGGAGACTCCTGCTGCCTCAGGCTCGGCCAGCCGGCAGCAGAGACCTCCAGCCCCAGAGCAGAGAGGGCGAGAGCAAACCCCCAGGCCAGCATTCCCCTCCCAGGCAGCAGCGGGGCACTGCCGCAGTGCCTCTCTCTGTGGTTTTCTGCTTTGTTTCTGTGGGCTTGATGTAAAATGAGTAGTTTTTGCTCCTGCTGGTGCTCCCCAGAGCAAAGAAAGTGCAGCCTATAATTTGTTTATGGCCTGGTCCACAGTCTGTTTCTTTAACAAAGCGCGTGCAGGTCTGGATGTGCTTCAAGGCTGGCCCTGCGCATGCGCCTGTGCATGCACGTACACGTGTGCTCAGACAGACACACATCTCAAGGAACCACAGCCACAGCCCTTGCCCCAGGGGCTAAGCTGGGGTGGCCACAGCAATACCCTGATCTCTCCCTGCCCTGGGCTGGGCCAGGCTTCCCCCTGAGTAGCATCCAGTCCCCAATGTGGAGCCTCATCGCCACCCCACTGTGGGCACCAGACGCCCGCGCTCAGATGGCCCTGGCATGCAGATGACACAGTGCTGGGGGGCTGTGCTGCCACACCTAAGATACAAGTGACGTGTATCTCCTGCAGCCAGAGCCCGTGATGGAAGCTCATGCCTAGGGAGAACTCTCTGACCGGGTACCAGGGCTGCTGGGCAGCAGGGAGGGGGTAACCTCTGGGGACTCTGCATCCTGAGGTCACACAGCCCAGTGATAAAAAGGGGCGTTGGGCCCTCTGGGACATCAGGTTCTACACAGAAGTCAGGATCTCCCCAGTGCCAAGTGAGCGTCTCACCTTCCGACCTGGACCACAGAGTAGGACCATGCCACACCCTTCCCCACCAGGGTGGGGCTCATCTCAGAGACAAATGCATGTGCTTCTCCCACTTCCCCGGCCACCTCCACACTGGGTGTGCTGGGTCAGAGCGGGGGTGCTGCCTCACCCTCTGCAGACGCAGACTGTAAACCCATTCTGTGCCTCAGCCTGTGGGTCTCTAATCACCCAGAATGCACAGCAGCCACTCAGGATAGTGTGAGTGCAGGTCCTCAAACAAGTCTCCAGGTCCTGCTTCAACAGAGTCAACTCCCTCTGCTTCATAACTCTTCCTC